ATATTAACTATATATAACTATATATACTATACTATAATATATATATATATATATATATATATATATATATATATATATATATATATATATATATATGAGATGTCACGATGTCTACCTGTGGATCTTAATTTTCGGAGGGATTCTTATTTCAACTAATCAAAATAGAATATTTCAAGTTAATTAAACCCCAATGCGAGGGTCATCACATAAAAAATCCACGATATTATGATATCGGGGGGTCCACTGCTGGTTATAACTAAGATGCGGTTGTAGTCGCGTTCACCAGGGCCGGCTATGCCCCAAGACAATATAACAACATAGATTTAGCAGTAAAGGTTGATCCAAGAGCAACAGAACAAAACAAATGTAGTTAGGGAAATCAAGAAACTTTAGCCAACTCACAAAATAGAAGTACAGATGGTTGCTCTCGATAGACAGTGAGGTTCCTTCGACGTATGCGGCCGTTAAGGGTCACACGAATACTATTATACGGTACACTGTGATAGACAACGCAGGTAAACACATATCCACCACCCATTGACAAAGCAAGCACATACGTTAATAAGCTCTCTTCGAGGCCGGTTGTTTGTTGTACATCACTGTACTTGAGCGTGTCGGCTGAATTGAACAGCTCCAAGATCGTTATTTGGTATGCATGCGCCTGTGGTTGTATAGAATAACAGAAGTGATATCTACACGGTATGTCCTTCCGCTTCCACATGTTTTTTTTTGCTATAATGTGAATATAAAGTTCCTTGGAAACACACCTATGGTTGTCTACACTGTTATAATTTTTCAAGGGGTTCGTATTTACTACTACAGACAGACTAGTAGGAGTCGGCATGAAACACCATCAGAAGACTCCAACTAACAGCCAATCACCTTAGAAGAACGCGCTTCCACGCGCAACTTCCGGATTGACATATCTAGAAGCACCTTCATAAACCACTCAATAAAACTACAAAAACTTACTACAAATTTGGTCCTCATTCCCCGGCAGACATAGCAAAAACTCGAAAGTAGTAACGACCCAGTCAAAGTTAAGCTGTGAACTGCCTGTCAGACAACGACGCGAACAACTGTATACACGGCCGCTACAACATATCATATCAAGCGGCTCCTGAATGCATATCGGTTTAATCATGCAAAATGACATGCTGCACAACGCATATGCACCTGTCCAATGCAATCTATGTACACTGCCTGTTGCCATGGTGCGCTAGAACCCACTCACAAGCTATCTGGCACACAAAGACGTACATGTACAACCAAATACCTAACAGTGTACAGTGATATACTGCAATCAAGTGCTTGCCCCACTTAAAGCCATGCAAGGACTTACTGCAATGGTGTACTTGCGTCCACTCACAGACATCTGGATCTCGCCCTTTGACATTTTATGCAGCCAGTGCAGTTTCCTGCCGGTATGTCGGCCATCGTAGTAGTCCACGAACCGTTTGATGTAATTTTCCGTCTGCAGATAGTATATATAATTGGCCCCGGGGGAACATTCAAATCAGCTATGAGTGATACGAGGATATATATGAGGGATCGAAGGCTTGAGCCAAGAATTCATTTAAGCGAGGTCTCAGTCTGATTGACGTATAAAAGTTAAATACAAAGCTATAAATACATATCTGTGAGACAAGCAGCGCTTACGGCATACATGTGATATCATCGATTTTAGATGGATCTCACGATCATGATGTGTACACACTAAAACACTCTTACAAGACCATATCTCACGGAGAATTAACTCAAGTAATCTGGATCGCTTCTTGAATACTACCGATAAGAAGAAGCACAATGTGTACCAGTCTCAAAGTCATGTGCAGATACTTTGTTATAGACATATCATTGAAAAACTCACTTCAATCGGAAGCACAAGTAAGCAATCACAAAGTCATGTGCAGATACTTTGTTACAGACACATCATTGAAAATCTCACTCCAATCGGAAGCACAAGTAAGCAATCACAAAGTCATGTGCAGAGACCTTGCTACAGACATGTCATTGTAAATCTCCCTCCAATCGGAAGAACAAGTAAGCAATCACAAAGTCATGTGCAGATACTTTGTTATAGACATATCATTGTAAATCTCACTCCAATCGGAAGCACAAGTAAGCAATCACAATGCCATGGGTAGAGACTTTGCTACAAACATATCATTGTAAATCTCACTCCAATTGGAAGCACAAGTGAGCAATTACAATGTCATGGGCAGAGACCTTGCTACAAACATATCATTGCAAATCTTACTCCAATCGGAAGCACAAGTGAGCAATCACAATGCCATGGGCAGAGACTTTGCTACAGACATATCATTGTAAATCTCACTCCAAATGGAAGCACAAGTGAGCAATCACAATGCCACGGGCAGAGACTTTGCTACAGACATATCATTGTAAATCTCACTCCAATCGGAAGCACAAGTAAGCAATCACAATGCCACGGGCAGAGACTTTGCTACAGACATATCATTGTAAATCTCACTTCAATCGGAAGTACAAGTAAGCAATCACAATGCCACGGGCAGAGACTTTGCTACAGACAGGACAAGGACGTGCAGCAGTATGCCTTGCTGTGCTGTGCATAACCTCCACAAAGTTGAAGGTCATGGCCGCACCAATACAAGGCCGCGAATCCATTAGTCCGCCACACAACTGATCTGGTAATTGGGATCCCAGAAATCTCTCCGCCATATCGAATACCGTACATCGGCAATCCCAGATTTGCATTCTGATTCGGCTAGTGTTCTAATACTAAATCAGCATAAGAGTGTGTAACTGCCGAGAGTGACCTCCCTCTGCAGTGCTTCAAGACCCACCAGATATACGACGCCATGTAGGTGTTTGTTGTGTGTGTGTGCGCATATTCATGCCGCCGGCGATCTCACTGTACGGGCTGTTGTGAAGCTCTTGAAATAAATAACAAACAGACAATATTTAACTTTAAACTGACAAACCTGTTTGGGTAGATTCAGGGCGGGCTCGCTGTAAACTTCAGACGGCCAGTTGGTAGTCGCCATCACGAATATGCCAAAGTCCAATTTCTGGAAATCGGGTTCGGTCACGTTTGACATCTTCTGCGTGAATTCTGAAGCCAATTCCTGACTCATGCGATCATCCTGGAAGGACGTAACAATTAGGGTAAGTTCAAACATACTTCGAACAGAAAACATAAAGGCGTAGAAAGGTTCGTTCGTGCAAATACAGCACCTAAGGAGCGCGAGTGCACACGTACCTGTAGCATGCGTTGTAATTTATTGGTGTACTCGCACCCGCAGGCGATCTTGAGACGATTGATCATGTCATTCTCGGCTTCGTCGGACACAGATGTTTTGCCAATCAATCGCTTGACCAGATTGAGCCTGTAGTACTTCTGGAACACATCCTTATCCTCAATGTAGAAGAAAATCACCATGGCGTTCTCCAGCATCTTGTCGAGCTCGGCTGTGTCAGCATTCTGCACCAAGTGTCTTATTAGTCATGTTCAGGCTTTGTTGTGGCGCAGTATTTAATATATATGAACACAAGGAGAGAATATAACTCCTCGCGATTGTCACCTCGCACGTTTGTCTACTGTCCCATGAAAGATGGTACACTATTACGAACAGGCACAAATCGCAATAAAGATAATAATTTGTTCTTAGACAAACAGCAGACAGCCTCCATATCAGAGACGGCTATACTCGGAACAGATCCTTGGGGGTGTGCTTCCTACTACCACAATCATTTGTCAACGACCAACGGAAATAAGTCGTATAAATGCCGGAACAAAAGATATCCATACATGCATACCACATTCCATCCAGACACAGAAACGCATACGAGTGAGATACGTATCTGGACATATACAGTGCACTCCACTCTTCACCGCCATGGGAGAAAACTACGAATGCAGGCAAAACAAGTATATATCTGAGAAAGACTTATAGTCATTCATCTCCCGCCCACAGCGAATGAAGGGTGGTGCACCAAGAAAAGGATATGCATTGGAGTGTACGTACACCGGAAGCTAATTGCACACACACACACACACATATATATATTTATATATATATATACAAATATATATATATATATATATATATATATATATATATATATATATATATATAAACAATACATACTTGACCATTTATGTCATACTTCGTCACGTACATACCTTCGCACTCTTCTTTAGTAGTCCGTCGCAGTACTTTGACAGTAATTCCGGTGACCGATGACTGCTCTTTACGGCCGACGTGACGGCGTTTGTATTCATGAATCGTTTACACGCTTGATCTAGTTGTGTTTGGAAGTCAGAGTTGGACTCGAAAGCAAGCTCCAGCATACGGTGGTACTTTGTATGCACGGACAGCAGTGCCTCTACATACTGTGAGCGGAAAGGGTGTTGATGCTCGTAAACACACAGCATAAGAGTCTGAGAACGCATTAAAGACAGCAGAAGATAGTTCGAGGAACATTTTTCTAGGGAGTGAACATAATCTGAAATAGGAAGGATCTCCTCACGAGTGCACTAGTCACTTAGCTGGGCCACACTACAAAGATGTGCTGATACGTAGTGAGGCTCACTGAATACTACCAACACAACACACATCTCATCAGACTAACGACATCCTGTCCCAACCAGGGAATGGAGCACATACTGTGACCGGGTCATCGCCCGTCCCATTAGCGCTGACTTGTGTCATTAGCTCCAATCCTTCGGTCTTCACTCTCTCCTCGAATTCTGTGCGCAGCTTGCCCATGCAATCGGTGTTAGATCGACTCACTATCCTATACATACGGCCCAGGTCCTGGATTTTGGGGTTAAGCTTGATTGGTTGGTGGGATTGTAGGGTTTAGGGTTTTATGCTGGGAAAAGGGACAGGGGAGCACCACTACATAGTGCTTTCAGTGCTATTTGCTTGATGCTTTAAACGGCATCATCATGTTCAGCCTTGATGGCAGACAATAACAACTGTGTCGAACTGCATGTTCTCAGCAACTCAAGGCCCCTCTTATCGCCCCCTTAGCATAATTAAATGGCCGCGATCGAGGTGCCTGCTATTGCTCTACAGACTGATAACAATCAATTGAAAGCACCCACACGCAAAATGCGATGCTTCCAATGAGAAAATATAAAAGCCCGGAGTTGTATGGCCAGCAGAATACCAGACCGTGACAAACCTCAATCTTCTCGCCGGCTAGTAGTGGTTTAAACTCGGCGTGAATGATATCTATTTTCTTGTCGATCAGCACCTGTGGAGGGGAAGCCCAGTGCAGTACTGTTAGTCGTTCTTGCTAAGAGAGACAGCCGTGGTTGTATACGCTAGTACAGGGTGTCACCATATCCATGTGACATACTATGGCTAGGGTGTAGCATCCTTTAGCGCCATTACTATATTACCACAGTACAAACAGCGGGCAACATAAGGGGTATTGTTTGCTTCGGACATCCGGACGGTATTCACTAGCCAATTCAAACAACTCAAACAACTTGTACAAGTATCCGGAGAGCAAACTGCCCATACGTGAACGACTGGCACACATGATCAATTAGATACGACAGCACAACATGATACGCTAGTGCAATGGTAGTATGTGGCGCTTGATAGCAGACACCGCTAGCCCGATAACGGGTTCTTGTGATAGGGGATAGAGGGATGCGATGGACAGTGACACATGTCTACGGGCGAGACTCATTCGCAACGGCTCAATCCACACGTGACAAAAACGGAGGACGACAAAGGCTCTATTTCCGGCATGCGCTCCTGACAGCAACACGAAGGTACCACACTCGTTGCCTAAGCACAGACTTTAGCCGTACACTACGCTGCAACGGATTACAGAGAAGTGCTTGCATCATACCGTGGTCAAGGCGTCCATCATATTGCTCATAGAGTCGCGGTTAACCTGTGTTTTAACGCGTTTGATCTCTTCATCAAAGCGTTTCTCGACCTTCTTCATATACTCGGCCGTCGAGTTTTCTCGCAGGAATGCTTCGCTCTCCCTCTGATAGTATTCCGTGGTCTCTTGCAGGAACTTGCCCTCGAAATGAGTCTGATACATCCTGCAGCATGAAGTTATATACATCGCCAAACCTCAGAAGCAATCAGCTACTTGCAAGCTGCACATAGTTCAATGACGAATCAGGTACAGGAATCCCACAAGCAAAACAGATAGGCCATTCTAAAGAACCAAACTGCAGTCACACACACCGCAAAACATTGGCATTGGCATGAATCGCAAGGTAGATGACCACAGACCAAAAAAACAACAACAACAAAACACAATGTATGGGAAGCGGGATTCAAGTATGCGGGTACGGTAAATTCCATCCACGTACTCAAGCCAATTGCATAGCACAGGCTCCTACGGATCCATTCAATTAGCATTCCTAGGGAACGCACAGAGACTTTACGTAGAGGTACAGCAGAAACGCAGAAAGCTCAATAAACACACTCGAGAGGACTTACAAAAAGACATGCAAATACATAGAGCCTTGAAACTCTCAATCAGACTGATACAGACAACCACATGCAACGTTGAGTACTCACAGCATAGGTGTGTTGCTGAAACTTTGTCCCAGGTTGATATAGCAGTCGATGACGGTGGTGACCAGCCCTGTATTGATGGCCTCTCCGTTACGCTCTCGCTCAATGAGCTTAAGCAGGCCACTCGTTAACTTCTCCTTCAATCGCATGAATATAACCTCCCTCCATTGCACCACGCACATCTGTGCATGGGGGTGGGTTCAGAGTTATGGGGTTTTAGGGTTCAAGGTTTGAGGTTGAGTATTTTTTTCTTCCTCAGGCGTATTCAATCACGAAAACAATCTTAGCGAGTCTTAGAATACTTAAAGAGAAACTAACATTCAGTTTCTAGGGCTGGCATTGATTCATACGGCAGAAAGAACACTTTAACATAGCTGCAAGAGCACAACAGGACTTACGACTGAGATCTCGTAGACGTCTGTGCGATTTTCTGCGATGTCTCTGGCGATGGAATATCTATTGAGATAATTGAAGAGCCCGTGCACCACCTGGAAGAGCAAGGCGATCAGTGTGAGCTTCGAAGGGCTATGTGTAGATTCAGTGTGTGAGCCTTGAACGGCTATGTATATATACTAGTATCAGAGTAGAATACACAATTTCAAATGGTATTGGGACAGAGTTGGCAAGAACGCGTCCCACCTTAAAGGGCAAGTGGCATTAGTCTAAGCTTGAACAGCTGTGTATCACTACTGTTAGTCAAGTACACACTGGCCTTAGAATGAACTATGCAGATAATTGACAGCCCGAGTGCCCCATAGAAATGCAAGTGTGCACTTGAAAGCCTACCCTACCCATCCCATAACGTCGGTACACCACAGCGCCGCACCATCGAATACAACCACACATTGAGATTGTATCGACTATACGCCAGACTTCGTGCAAATGCGCCTTAACCTCACCAGACTGGTGGCCACTGTCAAGCCTCACGCTACAAGACACCCAGTGGTCTTGCGGATCAGCAGAGCACCCACGGCACTACACATACAGCGACACAAAAACTACACAATCAGCGCATGAACACCGTTACAGCCCCACCCACAACCACGAGCACAGAATCTCCATCAGCATTTGTGCTGCAATCGCCTCTCGCTCCGAAGTCGATCTCTCCGCCCACACACTCAGGCGAGTTGGTCTGTCTGCAATACCCCATCGTTCCCGTGCAGCTGTGTATAGGCGTACAGGTACTCACTCAACACACACAGACGAAACTGAGGGTATTTGAAAACCCCACCATACCTTGCTTGTTCGCTGGAATGTGCCCCATCTGGTCCCGAACTTCTCCAGCAATGTGTCGTCCATATCGTCCTTGATCTCGTCGTAGATGGTGAGGATGTAGGCCTGTCCAGTGTATGTAGCAGAGGGCAGAGTGCGTCGTAGATTAGGCGAGTCTCGCACCCCGTAGTCACAACTTCTCATACACATTCACCGTCCAGCGATCACAACGCAGGCGTGCAGTTTGAAGTGGAGGGCAAGTGCCACCGCGTCTCTAGTAGTCACTCACCCATCGCTCTCACATTTATGGGGAAAGTTCGACACGCGCAATGACAAGCAGCCCCAGCACCAAACCTCCCTCACCAGACATACCAGCACTCCGAAAAGAAACCCCACTCTTGATACACAAAAGTTAAAACCTAACATATCATACTCACAAAGTAACACCACATTTTCATACGCGCTCGCATACGACCTTCAATGCCTGTGTCCAACATTCGCAAAACTTGTACTAGACCAGATATCCCAACTTACCCTCAGGTAGTCCACTAATCGCTGGTACAGCTCACGCCCAACAATGTTGGCGCCGCTCACTTGGGTGGGCGTCATGCGTGCGGTGAAAGAGGTGGCCGGTCTCGTACAGTAGTCATATATAGATCTGAATATACGTTTATATAGGCGATAGATAGCGTTAAGGGGTGCCTTTGACTATGAAGGATATATAGATCTGAAGATACGTTTATATAGGCGATAGATAGCCTTAGGAGGTGCCCTTGACTATGAAGGATATATGGAAATGAAGATACGTTTATATAGGCGATAGATAGCGTTAAAAGGGTGCCTTAACCTATGGAGGATATATGGATATGAAGATACGTTTATATAGGCGATAGATAGCGTTAAGGGGTGCCTTTGACTATGAAGGGTACATGGATCTGAAGGAACGCGAACCAATGTTGATTGTAGCATGCATATTAAAAGTGGTTGTGCACAGATCTCAAGAAAACAGTAAAAAAATCAGTAGCATTAATTGAAAGATAGGCCACGGTTGCCATAGTAGCAGAGTTTTGCTTCACACTCCTTGAATTGATTCAGCTATGAAGATTGAACCACGTATACCTGTTGACAATACAGGCAGAAAGCCTGGGGAGTTATTTGCACTATGCGCAACTGTTCACCGATGTACAGACGAAATGGATCGTCAAAGCATCCAAATCTAGAATCTCATACTTCCACCCACATGCGCGTTCAAGTCTCACTCGCATGCACCACGTGGTATTCTCGAATCCTTCCACCACACACACGTAAAGTGCGCAGGTATTAAACTTCTTATTAACTACATGTATACAAACGAGAAAAAGTCTTACACGGCATACGCCAGCGAGAACTACTTACGTGTACAGCTTCATGTACTCCTTCGGGGTCATGTCACGGTTGGGAAAACGGTATAAGCCCTACATAATGAAGCACGCAAGGAGTGCATATCTGATTAATAAATTGCACAGTACAACATTGCAATGGCCACAACAACCGGAGAACAGGCACCTCGAGCATCGCACACGCTTAAGCGATTAGACAAGCGCATTCGATGAGCCTCGTGCACTGGGAATACAACGAAAAGGTGCGCAGAGACACAGACTGCATCTGCAGTTGTTGACGAAATGGACATGGCAGAACAAACAAAAAGTATGTTTGGAGCCAAGAGAGCAGTATTCAAATCAATAAAACATTGAGCATCATCATGGATGCACTGACTATCATTCACGGGTTTACAGAGCGCAGCCAATCGCATACGCGAGCTGTAGGTGTGGGTTACTAGAATGTGGAAGAAAAATGATTGTGCATGTATACATACACCTTCATACGAGCATTGGATTCCAACATAATCTGAAAGAAATATAAATACATATACAAGTACGAAGATAGATATACCTGCATTTTATACAATCTTATTGTAATATGGAAGCGTTGATGTATATAGTACAATTAAATATCAGTGAATATAAACTTTTACACATATGAAGATAGAAACTGACACATACACCATACAGACAGCAACACGTTGGCAGATACACAATAAGACCGGCTAGAATGAAAGATATAGTCATGTAAATAATCCACACGCACACATACACACAAACACACACACACATATATAGATATCATATATATATATATATATATATATATATATATACATAAATATATAAATATATATATATAAATAAATAAATATATATATGTATATAAGTATATATATACATGCATACATACATACATACATACGTACATACATCTACATATATATATACATATATAAACATAAATACGAGATTAAAAGAAAATATAAAAAAATGGAAGTAAAAAGAAATAGGGAACAAAAGAAATATGAATATAAATATGAAAG